TGTATTGTATATTTATCTGTATATGATTTAACATTTCATTTCTTGTTATATATCTAATTATCTTTATAAATAAATATATTATATTATCAGGAATTTGGTTTTATCTCTCTAGAGAACCCTGTCTAACACACCAAGTATTCTTCCCATGCATTCTGCGTACCTTTATTCTCCAGTTGTCACCGACATCCTCTTTGATTCGGCTTAACCAAGATTCATTGAACCAAGCAACGTCACTGAAAAATATTAAAGCAAGAAATTAAGATGTTTGTATTTGGTATATAAAAAATAAAATTAAATAATCACAGATTATTTTACATTGTAAGTTTGCCCTAAATTAATAGGTAGCTATTATTTCAATGAATCTGCTCAGTTATTTTGTGAAGGATTTCTCTTACTAGATTACTCAAGTCATTAACCCCTTCATTTTAACACATTTACTACGTAGCTCATAGACACTATGCTAGCAGGAAGATGTAAAATTCAACTTCACTGTACTTGACATTTTTCCAGACTACTTCATTTAAGTCTCACAGTAACGTGGCAAAGGATCTATCATTATCCCCAATCTTACTCTTCAGGAAACTGAGAATGAAAGAGGTTAAGTAATTTGTCCCAAGTGGCATATATTTCGTAGGTGACAAAGTCCAAAATAAATTTTTATTGTAATCAAATAGAATGTGTTTAACTGAGAAATCTATACTGATAAGGTTAGCCTCAATTAGAAATAAACTCCTATACCCTTTCTCAAAGCCAAAACAAAGCATTGCTAATAAGATTTTTATGTATTCAATAAGTTTTTTAAAAATTACTTAACCAAATAGAGTGAAATACATTAATAAATTAGGTACTTTAAACAATAAGTTAAATGTTTGCTCTGAGTAAAGAACCAAGAAACATTAACATAAAGATGAATAATTTACTAGTCTATTAGAAAGGATCCCTGGTGAGATAGGGGTTAGGCATAAAGGCAGTGATCCACATGGTTGGCAGTTGGAAACCACCACTTGGTGCACAGGAGAAAGACTGGACTTTCTACTCCCATAAAGAGTTACAGTCTCTGAAACTCAAAGGGGCGTTACTATGAGTCAGCATTGACACGATGGCCATGAGTCTGGTTTGGCTAGAAAAACAAATACAATGGGGAATAGTCAGAAGTACACATAAATACACTCAAAGGAAAAGGTGATTTTTTATTAAAATTTTATTGACTTGGAATGTTTGATCATTGTGAAATACTGACGTTCTCATTTGCTATGTAATATTACCTCTCACATTTGGTTTACTATACAGTGACAAATACAGTTTATGAGTACAAAGTAGGACTATATATAAATACCACAAGTTGTCTTTAATACTTTTTAACATATAATTTTTTCTACAATAAGGCACTGAATTTGTTAAGCTTATTTATAAAGTTTGTTTCTGTGGAGCTTTGCAAAAACTTTCTATGACAATATAAGAAGCAGCAAGAAATTGGTAAAACAGTCTTATTCCTGTGCTAATGTAAAGTTAATTCATAACCTAAAAGAAAAAGAAAAATGTGATAAATATTCTAAGGGTTAAACAGATAACTACAAGATCAGAGAATACCAGGGCTTGGAAGAGGTCTTACAAGTCTCACCTAAATTCTTACTTCATAGACAAAGCAATTGAGGTAAGGGAAAAAATGTAAAGGGATCATTTCTAAAGTTATGTCCCAAGTTTTAAAATGCAAAGCTGAAACCAGGAGTCAGTGCCTAGATGCAAGAGCTTTTTAGAAGTCATTCTGCCTCAGATATTCTAACATATAAGGCCACACTTCTGGGTGAGGAAACTGAAAACAGCTTCACAGGGGTCAACTTGTATACTTTAAATTTGTAACTACAGGTATGCATCACTTAGCGTCCCAATACCTTCTGTGAAACAGGACCATTAGGTGATGTGGCTGGTACATGAACACCATATTCTATAACTTTTACAACAGTATATATCTGCATATATTATGGTGTTCCTGCATGTCTAAATCACATGAGGACACATGGCTTGCGTGGAACCATGTTTCTGAACCTGGGCCACAGCAACTCTTTATGGCTATGTTGTCTGCAACTATGCCCCTTTACTTGGGCAGACAGCACTACCCGCTGGGAAGAGGTGAAGAAGGGCTGGTGATCGCCCCCGCTGTTTTGCAATGGCAAGGCTGGAACCTAAACTCAGAATGTAGGTCTGCACTCTGTAAGCTGAGGGGTCTCCCACTCTTAGAATACGTGTCCCAGATGGGCACACTTTCAGGAGGCCTTATGGACAGTGTCAACTCTACTGTCCTGTCCCCTATAAGGATCTCATCATTGGGGATGCCTCCTGGAGCCTACCATCACCTGCGTCAGCTCCATGATCACCAACAAGACTTCCTGCCCTTAATCCAGCCCTGGTGTGCACTCCCAGTCACAGCCAGAGGAGGAGTTGTTGGGCCTGAATCCTCAAGACATCCAGGAAGTTCAAAGTAGAAATACCTCCACTTCTGAGTTGAGCTGAGAAGGCACTATCACTTCCCCAGACAGCTGTACAGGAGGTAGGGAGTGGGCCAGGACTCAGGGGTGCTAAAAGAGCCTGCTGAGAACCTTTCCCTGAAGATCCAAGTCTGAGGACAATTGGAGCCTTCAGGGGCAAACAAATAGGCACACCAGACATGCCAGGTATGTTGCTGCTGCTGCAGGCAGCACTGGGGACTAATGCTGGGCAGTGGGACTTTGACCTGGGCAGAGGCTTTAGGGCAAACACGGTGGCCTGAGGCAGGAATCCACATCACTATGAGATTTGAGAGAAGAGCTCCTCCAAGTCCAGCTCGATGCCGCTTAAGGACCAGCACATTCACACCAGTGAAAAACCTTATGAGTGAGGTGTGTGGGGTAAGACCTTCAGCCACAGCACCTGGAAATCTACAAAGCTGAGAAACTCTACAAGTACAGCAAGTATGTCAAGGCCTTCTGCAGGCACCTGTGGACCCACATGGATGACAAGTGCTTCACGTGCAGTCTGCAATAAGGCCTTCCCAAAACTCGAAGCTCACTTGGGGGATCTACTACCTGGATTGGGGTGGGCAGCTGGGCAGAGCCAGGAAGGGGTAGCTTACTACATTAATGCTACAAGAGGGAGGGATTCTGCCTGCCCCACTTCCAGCATAACCACCCAGTTCTACATACCCAGTGTCCTCAGTAAATCCTTTCAGGTTGCTAGAACAACACAGACAATCCTTATGGGACCATGGGTGTGTAGGCTGGTGAGCCTTGTTCCAAATGGACATTATGCATCACACAACTGTACTTTCTTTTGAGAAAATCAATGCTAAATTTTCTCTACCTTTCCCAGATGACAGCTGTAATAATCACAAAACCAATTTAGCTAAATGTATAACTGATACACTAGTAATCATGCAGTTACTTGAAATGATTTAGAGTCAAAACTACTAAACTTATTTTATTTTTATATCAGGATAAATAATAAAAAGTCCAAACAAAAATTATATATTCTATGGATGCTAAGTGTTTCAAGTATGATTCCAAACTATAATTAGTAATCTATAGAAAATAAATCTATAGATACTAGTCTAGTTTTCTTCCTTTATTCATTCAACCCGATCTTCCTTTCCATGTCAAATCAACTTAGCACTGAGAAATTCTTTCTAAATTCTCCATGACATACATGTTTTATCTTATAAAATAATCCATCCTCCCTCAACAAGTACAATGACATGTAATATAGCCTACTATTAAACTTCATATCCAATGCAAGATCTCACTGGACATAGTATTTTTCCTTTGTGCACTGCCATATTTATACACCTTAACTGGACTCTTCATTCACAACAATAATTAGCTTCTATTGCTTACATTTCCCAGAACCTTAACGAAACCCAAGAGACATCAAATAAGAACAGGACATGGCATTAATGAAGCAAATTATGTTCCAATTATTTTCTAAGAAAGAATCACTGCATGGTTACTTTTTTTTTTCATTCCACTGGTGACATTTATCTGCCACCATTTTACCAACTAAATTCAAATAACAATATATCTTGCTTACTGTAAGGAGCCCTGGTGGCACAGTGGTTAAGCACTCAACTGCTAACTCAAAGACTGGCAGTTGGAACCCTTCAACCACTCTTCAGGAGAAAAGATGTGGCAGTTTGCTTCTCTAAAGCATTACAACCTTTGAAAACCAGTGGGACCGTTCAACTGGGTCTTAACCAGGCTGCTATGAATTGGAATCAACGCTATGGCAACAAGTTTTTGTTTTTGTTACTATAGGCTTGCTATTAGTTAAAATGTACTCAATAGTAATAGGTTTGGGTTTCTGTAATTAATAAACATCAAAATTATGCTGCTTCAATCGGCATCCAGAGACGATTTGTCTTGACTAATCAAAAGGCCTTCTGTGCTCAATACAAACTATGATCTGTACATAGAACATGTGCACCTGGCTTCTTTCAGTTTTATTAAGAGCTCCCAAAAATAACCTATCAGAAGAGGTTTCAGACACTAGATTTCAATTGTGCAGTTGATTAAGAACACGAGTTTGGGAGTCAAGCAAACTGGTTCAAATTTTAACTTAGCTCTTTACTCATTAGTTTACTTCCTCTGAAGACCAAGTTTCTTGATCTAGCAAGGAAAGATAGAAATATTATCTACTTCAAAAACTAGTAAAATCTGAATGAAATAACTTATGTTTAGAGCAGAACACAGTGTTTTCCTTTGTAAGTGCAAAGTATTATTTTACACGGTCAAATATCTGCTGAACAAATTAGTGAACACTACATGATGCATAAAGTGTCTTGATATTCTAAATTTTATGTGGTCTCTCCCTTTTGTGAATAGAGACAAGATAATGAAATAAACAGAAGTTATCTGGCACACAAAGTAAACAAACATTTTATCTATGGTGGAAGTCGGGATATGTACTTTTTATAATTATAATTATAGTGCCCCACCATGATCTAAATAACAATAGGTATTAATATACAAAGTTTACAAACTGCAATCATTTCCTCAAAGAAAAGCAAACAGGCACAACTAGTCTTTAAAACTTAAGATAGTTCTCTCCTCTGTTTTCCACAAGTTGTAATCATCATATCCAGAGGTCTTCGTAGAGTTCTTGGCTTTCTTATCACGGAAGATTTGAGTAGGAAGACTCTCTTAAATGCCAAAAAGTTTTTGCATCCACATAATGATATTTGTTGGGGACCATGGGCCCCAACAGCCAAAATCTCATAAACAGGCATTACTCTCAGCCTCAGGCCGGGTGGAGACTTTCTGTTTCCTTTTGCTGCCTTACAGAAAAGTCCAGGTGGCCTTGGCCTTTTCCCTTACAGTGAACCCTCGTTTATTGCGGTTAATCGGTTCTAG